TTTAGGGGGCAATGGTTGAGTTTCATTTAAGACGTCTTGGAGGTGCCTGAGAGCCATCTGGTGTAGAGAGCTAGCAAATGATTGGCTATCTTATTCTGAAGTTCATTGGAGAGGTGAGCTGGAGATAGAGATTGGGAAATCCTCAACAGAGGGACAGTATTGAAACCAGGAGATTAATGAGCTCCCCAGTGAGGGGGCAGAAGGAAAGAAACCCAGGGAGGAGACCAAAAAGGGACAGTCAGGGAAATAGGAGAAATCAGGAAAGTGAGGCGTCATGGAAGCCAACGGGTGTTTCTAGGAGGAGGAAGTGATCGACCATGTCAAACACAGCTAGAAAGCTCTGATTACACATTGATTTGGGCAATGCTAAAGTCACCATGACCTTAGGCTGGTATCACAAAGGCTCATTCACCTGTCAGCCCCATTAATTCACATGGTAAACACTCAGCTAGCACGTGTCCTCAGCACACTCTCAGAGGCTCACCACAGTCATTCTCACGTCCCGCACATTGCTTCAGGGCTTCCATTCATTCGAATTGTGCCCCAACTCACTTGGAAATTACAGGCGCGTATTTGGATCCTCTCCGTATTCATCATTTGAGATCCTTTATAGTTGCCAATGCTGCCTCAGAGCCAGCCAGAACCAGTGCAACTTTGTCTTTGGAGGGGAAACTGCCGGCCCCCACAAGGGTTGAACAGTTTATCTTGTATTAATAGTTTTTATCTCTCAGGAATAAGGACCTGTGCTTCTCTCATCTCCTGGTACGGCTAATACCCTTTGGGATTGTGAGGCAATGCTGAATGTTGCTGGTTCTGGTGTCCCTGACATGCCCCTTTGCTCACCTCTGACCCTCAAGCACCTAAACTGATGAACATCCGTTGTGTTCAAACGTTGAGTTCAATCTGTTCCCTATTTTCTACTGATCTTGAGACAGAGGTGCACATAGTGCAGACAGGGGATGCTCAATGGAACAAATCCCCAGGGAAGTGGAAGGGGCTGGGCCCCAGAGCCCAGTGGGAAGAGTGAGCGCCAAACAAGACCTCTCTTCTCTGAGACCCAAGGAAAGGAGAGTGTGGCCTAGAGAGAATGTTGGAGGTGACAAGAGAGGAAGCATTCACCTAGTGGCCTCCATCTGCTCTAAACACAGAAGTTCTTAACCAAGGGTACACAGCCCCTTTGGAGTCTGTAGAGAGAATTTAAGGAGCCCATGGACTCCTTTAATTGGATGGGGAGGGGCAGGAAATTACATCTTTATTTTCACTATCACTAACAGAAATGTAGCATGTCCTTCTAGGGTATGTAGGTAATGAGCTAAAGTAGTGTAGCAGCACCTGTGGCTTTGTTTCCAATGGAAGTAAGGTTTTCATAACTTATCATGGTTGTTGCAGATCTCTCAAAATAACATCATTATTTTAAAATCATAGTAGTCAGTAAATTTTTTGATAGAGCTTGGTGTTTAATGTATTGATAAAGAAGCACATATAATACTACATGACAAATGTATTTCTTATTATTTTGATAATTGTACTTCTTTTGTAATCTGTTTATCTTATGCATGCATTATTCTGGGAAGGGGTTCCTTAGATTTCACCAGACTGCCAAAACTGTCCGCAGCATCAGAAAAGGCTGAGACACTGCTCTGAAGAGTAACAGTAGCTTACATTTACATAGCTCTTGCTAAAGGCCAGGTACTCTTCAAAGTGCCTTTTGTAAAAAATACACCATTCTTGTTAACTCATTTATTCCTAACAACTCCACAAGGTAGGTGATTTGATTATACCCATGTTACAGAAGAGGAACTGAGGCACAACAGTTAACTAACTTGTCCAAGGTCATTCAGTAAACAATGGAGTTGAGATTCAAACCCAGGCCTTATAACTTTAGAGCCTGTGCTAAAATGTCAAGGACTTCAATTGGTAGGCCAAGGGGCAAATGGGTTGAGAGTGCAGTGAGAATAGCTAAAGAGAGAGGGGAAATGAGAGAGAGAGGTCTGACTCTGGCCAGGAGAAAAGTAGGAGGAGGCCACTAGGCTGGAAGAAAATAGAAAGTCCCACAGGGTTCAAGGAGATAAAAGAAGTGGTAAAGGGGAGGAGACCCAAGATGAGTGGGAGAACATGGTCAGAGTGAGAGACAGTGGTATGTAGATGCCAGGGATGTGGGGAGTCATTCCAAGCCATGACAAGGTTAATAATATGGCCTGGACAGAGGTGATTAAAGTAGAGAAGTGGAGGTCCTTGAAGTTGAGGAGGTGAAGATCCCTAAAGTTGAGTAAATGAAGGAATCATGAAGCTGGGCCTGCAAATTCTCCCAAGACTAACTGGTTGATTGACTCACTCATTCATGCATGCATCTGTACTGAGTGTCTAGTATATGCCAGTCAGTGTTCTTGGCATTGGGTAGACAAGAGATACACCAGCAGAGCAAGACTCCGTTGCCATGGGCTTACTTTCTAGCAGGGAAAGAGCTACACAAACATGTACACACACAAACAAGGTATGTTAGACAAGGCTCAAAAGCCTTTATGCATAATTCCACGACGTCAGAAGTTCTGAAAAGTAAAAGGTTATTTTTTTCATACCTTGGAGCCCAAACTCATTAGGTAACTAAACCTGACCAGAAGTTTTGTGAGGCCATTTACAGTCTTGATTCACACTTAGTGTAAATTTTCATACTTTTCACTCTAGAAATATTAATGTTTAGTTATAAGTGATGCTCCAGACCTTTCTCGGTAGTTATATAATATAGAGTATATGCAGCATATAGAGTTGTGTAATATTGAGTATATGTTTTCCTCTCTAAAACTGAAAAAATTCCAAAACATATTTGGCCCCAAGTTTGGAAAAAAGATTATGGACTTGTAAGTGCTATGAAGAAAATTCCAATATGTAATGTGTTAGTTTGCAAACTGGCTCCTGTACACGGAGGGTAGGGAGAGATGGAAGAAAGGAGCAGACCACTCCAGATTGGTAGGTGGCAGGGTTAATAAGCAAGAAAACTTACATATGAGGCTTGTCTTGGGTAGCCACAAGATGAGATCTCGGCACCCGCCCATGAGAATTTTAAAAGTTTACATAGAGGTCTTTACTGGGTTCAGTCACACATACTGTCCAGATGGTCTCAGCAACACATTGCTCTCTCAAGGCTGTGTCCCTGAAGCAGCTCTGGCTGCGGGAATGATGGGCGGAATGGATAGGGTTTAGGGTGAGAAGGCATTGATTTCCTGGTTCAAGCTAGCAGGACAACTGGCAGGCACATCTTTTTTTAAAAAATTTATTTATTTTTTCAAATACATTTGTCTCTGCCTACCCCCCCTTTTTTTAAGTTTTAAAAAAATATTTATTCTTAGAGAGAGGGGAAGGGAGGGAAAAGAGACAGAAACATCTATGTGTGAGAGAAATATCAATGGGTTGCCTCTCACACTTCCCAAACTGGGGACCTGGCCCGCAACCCAGACATGTGTCCTGACTGAGAACTGAACGGGCAGTTTTTCAGTTTGCAGGCCAGCACTCAACCCACTGAGCCACACCAGTTAGGGTCAGTCACATCCTCTCCATCACCTCTTTTAACCCATCAGGATAGTAACTAGGTGGCTACAGCTTGCGTGGTCAGGGAGGGGAAGCAACATTTAAGCAAGCCATGGCAACAGGCAGTCATGCAAAAATCAGGGGCAGAGCATTCCAAGCAGAGGGAATGGCTAATGAAAAGATGCACACAAAGAGGCAACTGCAGCTGGAGCATATTGGGCCTGGTAAGAAGCTATAAATTGATGAAAGGACTTCATGTAGTCAGAAAGATTGTGAGTCTGGTGCTAATTTTTTTTTTTTATGAATATAGTGTAATAACCATGAATGTGGTGGTTGTCAACAACCAGGAGGCCCAGAGGAGAGTCTTCCTGGGTAGGAAAGCACATAGGAACATAGTTGAGATAGAGGAAACAAAAAGCTGAACGGGGCTGAAAATGTAAAGTTAGATTTATGACTTGAAGACCTTGGTTTGGGGAAAAGTATAGAAGGAAGTAAGATTAGGTAGATTAGGTGGACTCAAGATACTAATTGGGAGACTGGTTGAAAGATGTTTTAGATCAGCGGTCCCCAACCTTCCTGGCATCAGGGACTGGTTTCATGGAAGAAAGTTTTTTCCACAGACCAGGGGTGGGGAGATGGTTTCAGGATGATTAAAGTGCATTACATTCAAGTTCACCTCCTGTGCGGCCCAGTTCCTAACAGGCCCTGACCGGTACTGCTCAGCAGCCCGGAGGTTGGGGACCTCCCTTCTAGATGGCCAAAGACCTGGGTCATAAATGACAGCCTCTGGTTGAGGTCCAATCTGCAATGTGTGATCTGGGCTTTTCGGTTTAAAATAGACACAGAGGACATTAGCAAAGGTTGAACTGGTGAAAGACGTTATTTGCTTCTCTGTTTATGCTTCTCTGAACTTGTGCTTCTCAGAAGCTCTGTCTTCATATATCTGTCTCCTAGCTTCTGTGTCTCTTAGTGGCTCTCTACATCCCTATCTCTGTGATCTGGTCTGGCATCTCTGTTCCTTGCAATCTCTTCCTCATCGTATTCGTCTCTACGTGGCTCTCAGAATCTGTAGCTTTGGATATTCATGTCTGTGTACCAGAATCTGATTCTCTTTACCTTCCTTTGTGTGCATACTGTAATTTTTTTTTCCAATTTAACTGTGCTCTTCTGGAAGGCATGAAGTCTTTATTATTCCTCTGGGTATCTCCAGTGTCACGCACAAAGGCCAGCATATAAGAGTCTCTCAGGTACGTTTATACTTGAATGAAAGATTTTTCTGAGTAAGGGACATTCTCTCAACCTCCTGCCCTTCACCACCCTTCCCCCGCGGAGCTGGCTGCCTACCCCCGGGCCTGCTAGAGAGTCGGGCGGAGGGTGTGGTATTGTGCTGCTGCCCTTGGACTCTTTCCCCACGGGGACAAGACGCCTTGTGGGCATCTTGCCACAGCCTAACCCTCTCAGCAGGTTACCAGAGCAATCGCGTGAGGCTCGGACGGCCGGAACGCTTCGCTGGCCCCGCCCCGTGGCTTCGCCAATCAGTGAGCGCCAGAAAGAGGCGAAACTACGAAAAAAAATGGCTGCTGCGAGCCGGAGCGTGAAGGTACCCTTGTCTCTGCGGCTTGCCCCGCTGCTCCTGCTGGGACCATTGCGGCCCTGGAAGTAGGGGGATGAGATCGGTGCTGGGAGAAATGATCACGCGTATCTAGGCCTGGTATTGCGGCGGTGGGGCTCGGGAGGTGAAGGTCAGTTCTCCGCAGCACATGTATGTGGGGTGACTGGATGGACTATCTGGGGATGAGAAACCTAGAGGTTCCGTCGGTAAGGAGAGGAGGCCCAGCTGAATCACTCTGCAGGGGTGACCTGGAGCCTCCCTTGCAGAAACCCGGAGAACAGGCAGATGAAAGGGTCTGCACAGCGTAGCCGTTAACTGTGTCCCTCTTCACAGGGTCTAGTCGCCATAATAACCGGAGGCGCCTCTGGCCTCGGACTAGCCACAGCAGTGCGACTGGTGGGGCAGGGGGCCTCTGCTGTTCTTCTGGACCTGCCCAGCTCGGATGGGGAGGTCCAGGCCAAGAAGTTAGGGAAGAGCTGTGCCTTCGTCCCAGCTGACGTAAGTGGGGTCACTTCACCTCCTCAGGACACCGGCCAGGGAACCCATGGGGTGACCCCCTCCCATAGGGTGCTGTGTATGTAGCGGTGGGCCCATTTCCTTTTTCCTTCACAACAGTGGGGGTGGGGATTGGACAAATCAGAATCTCCTGGAGAGGGTATGTATAGTTTGAAAGTTCATACTGGAATTTTATATTCACACAGTTGAAAAACTTTTCATGAAACAAACTACAGACAGTAAAGCTTGATGCAATCATCTTAGCAGGTAGGGGTACAAAAAAGCTAGCCTATCTTCATATCAGTAATTCTCAAAACAGTGCTCTGATCCACAGCAACTGAGAATCTCCACTGGTGTGCGAATGTATCAAAAGAGGGCATAGAACTGAAAAATATTTTGAAACACTGCTCTGTAGTACCTAACACTTTCAGCTTTGGCCCAGTCTCGAGTTTCCTCTTGGCCTCTGCCTTGCTTACATAATTCTGCCCTCCCCTCCCATGGATTTAGTGGTGAACGTGTGTGCTGGGTGATGAATGCCTCCTCCACCTCTCCCTCTAAAGGTGACCTCAGAGAAGGACGTGCAAGCAGCCCTGACTTTAGCAAGAGAAAAGTTTGGCCGTGTGAGTGTAGCAGTCAATTGTGCAGGCATTGCAGTAGCCGCCAGGACATACAACTTAAAGAAGAACGAGGCCCATGCGTTGGAGGACTTCCAGCGAGTTCTCAATGTAAGGCCTTGGAGGTTCTCCAGGGATAGGACTAAGAGGTGCCTGGCTGTGGGTGCCCCCAAAGCTTTCAGGGGACAACAGGCTGCCTCTGCCTCAGGTCCTAACCATATCTCTCCTGGTCCTCCAGGTGAATCTCTTAGGTACCTTCAATGTGATCCGCCTTGCAGCTGGTGAGATGGGCCAGAATGAACCAGATCAGGGAGGCCAGCGTGGGGTCATCATCAATACTGCCAGTGTGGCTGCCTTTGAGGGCCAGGTATGTGAGCAGGGGCAAAGCTTGTGCCTCCTCAGTGACTTACTGGGGCCCTCCCACCTAGGACCTCCACTCTTTCTCCAGGTTGGACAAGCTGCATATTCTGCTTCCAAGGGGGGCATAGTGGGCATGACATTGCCCATTGCTCGGGATCTGGCTCCCATGGGCATCCGGGTGATGACCATTGCTCCAGGTACATATATCCTGTCCCTGCTAGACCTGGGATTGGGTGGGATCCATGGGCAATCGAGAGGGCAGAGTATCCACCACCTAAGCAGCAGCGGCCTTGCATCTCTGGCATAGGGAAGAACTAACTACAAGAAGGGTAGAAAGGTGGGGGGAGGATCAGGGTCACATGAGAACGAGGGCGGGCCTCTGACTCTGGCCGTTTCGTCTAGGCTTATTTGGCACCCCGCTGCTGGCAACCCTCCCGGAGAAGGTATGCAACTTCCTGGCCAGTCAGGTGCTCTTCCCCAAGCGACTGGGTGACCCTGCTGAGTATGCTCATCTGGTACAGTCCATTATTGAGAACCCATACATCAATGGAGAGGTCATCCGGTTGGATGGGGCCATCCGCATGCAGCCTTGAAGGGAGAGGGCAGAGAAAACACAGTCCTCCACCCTTCCTATCCTTGGCATATTGTGCTCCAGCTTGAGAGGAAGCTAGTAGCCATTTGTAACTGCCCTAGTGACCCTCCGTGCCTAATAAAGTCTCTATTCTTACAGGAAGTGGACAGTGCTGTGTGCTGGGGGAACTGACATAGGGAACAAAGGTGAATGGGCGAAGACTTGACAGGGTCAGATGCACGGTTCCCAGGGGTTGCATGGGAAAGGCAGTACTTCACACCTTTGTCGTATTACAACATGTGACCTTGATCTTAGTGAACAATTTTATTACCTCGGCTCAAAGATGGGTATACTGGCTCAGCTCTCTCCCTCTGGGGAATGGATTGTGGTAGGGGGTCTGTAGCATTTTCCTCTTTGACTCTTAGTTTCTGTGTGCTCGATGGGGTGGAGGGAAGGAGAGATGACCATCTTGAGCTCAGCGGCTGCTGGTGTTGAACTGTAGGTAATATTGGGCTGTAGGTTGATTGGCGTAGATTATTGAATTCAGGTAATCCTGCCTGTGAAAGAAAACCAGAGGCCTCAGCCGATGGGTTTTCCCTCTGTCCCTGGCCTTCACCATTCCTCCCCACCCATTGGCAGTCATCCCTGCTGCCACCCCTCGAACTCACTGGGCTCTTTGCTCCTGAGCCAGCTGTTGGTTGAAGGAGCCCAGCCCCCTCCGGAATTCAGCACACAGTTCCTTCTCCTGCTCTTCTAGCTCCATGGCTGCTTGGGCCAGGTTAATGGTCTGGCTTTCCCATTCGGCATCCAGTGCTCGTTCAGCCTGGCGCTGTGCCTCCTTTTCACGACATTGCGCCTCCTGGGATTTCTTGATGACAGATCGCTGCTCTGGGTTCGCACCCTTCCAGAAATGGGGCAGGGCCCGGGAGGGAGCCTCAGAGTGTTGGGTGATCTGGGGTTTCCCTTTCAGTAGGTCACTTTTGACCTGGTGCTGGATCTCCTTGAAGTTGGCCGCCTGTTCACGCTGATGCTCATGGCGCTTTCGTTCAGCCTGCTCAGCTGCCTGGTGGGATCCCCGAATGTGAGCATTTGGGTGCCCAGCCTCAAGGGAACTCTCAGTCACAGGGGAGGGGGACACATGGCCCTGCTCTCCTCCATCTCATGGATAGAAGGGACAGAGATAGTGCCTAAGCTGGGGAAGGGGTGGCACAGACAGGGAACGTCCCTGCCTCTGGGAGCCCTTAGATTGAGCAGCCGTGGAAGGGAGGGCAGTGTTCTGTTCTCAAGTCATCTTCAGTCTGCACGTGGGGAATGGTATCTTCTACCCTAAGAGGGCCCTTAAGTAAATGGGGAAGTCCTCAGGCAGGTAAGAGGCTAGTGTTGATGGGAGAAGTACTGTGAGGGAAAAGATGTGGCTAAGGTTCCCAGGACTTTATTCAGGGGGTTAGGGAGAGCCCAGTACGCTGGATGGCTCAGGCCTACCTGGGCTTTGTTGGCGTTGGCCACGGCATACCTCATGGCTGTGCAACAGGACTCCTCCAGCTTGGCCAGCTGGGTGGCCCGCATGTCCACTGCTAGGTGCAGCTTTTCTCTGAGCTCATCTACACAGAGAAATATGGCCAGGGCACTGTACTGGCCTGCTCCATTCCTGGTTCACTAATTCAGCCACTTGTTCAACAAGTGTGTGTGTGTGTGTGTGTGTGTGTGTGTGTGTGTGTGTGTGTTTTGGAGTGGGGGATAATATCCTAATGCAGGGATGTGGAAAGAGCTACTCTGTAGGGCTAAGGCTAGCCAAAGTGGCAGTAACCAGGATTTCTCAGGTGCCTAACCGAAAGATGCCTCCAATGGACCTGGACCCAATGCCAGCTCTGTTGCTTTTGAGCTGTGTGACCTTGGGGAGGTAATTCCACCTCTCTGAGCTTCAGTCTAATGGCCATGTGTTGGACTCTGAGGACACCAGAGAATTAGATCCTTTCCTCAGAGAGCTCCCTGTCTAGTGCAGGGATGGATCAAATGTAGATTGTCATACCACAATGTGGTAAGTCAGTGATACAGAGCATTATGAGAACTTTGGATGGTGGGTGAAAGCAGGCTTCGAGGGGGAGGTTATCTTTGAAATACATGTTGCATATAGGCAGAAAGAGCAAAGAGCATTCCAGGCCACAGGCATAACATAAGCAAAGGTACTGACACTTTTAATCCAGCCACACTGGCCTTGCTTCTAGAACGTGCCAAACACTCTTGCCTCATGGATTTGCAATAGATGTTATTCTCAACTCAGGTTTTTTGTTTCCCTCAAGTCTTTGCTCACATGTTATTGCCTCAGTAAGGCCTTCCCTTTTTCTCCTATCTAAAATTGCAACCTGCTTGCCTCCAACATTTATTTCCCTTCCCTGATTTTTCTCTCTAGCATTTGTAACCATCCAATATACTCTACATTTAAAATTATTTTGACTATTGCCTGTCTCTCTCCTCACTAGAAGGTAACCTTTGTGAGGGCAGGCTTTCTGTCTGTTTTATTCACTACCATGTGCTAGCATCTAGATTAGAGCCCGGCACATAGTCGGTGCTCAATGAATTCATTTGACAAATACTTCTTAAGTACCTACTATGGAACATAAAATGCAAGTGGCTAGAGAGTTTTTCAGGGGCCAGGCTAAGGGCCAGAAACTGCACCTGAGGGGGGGGGGGCATGGGAGGATTTAAAGCAAGGAGGTGATGCGGTCAGATTTGCATTTTAGAAAGCTCCTGGTGGGAGACGGTGGAGATAGGGAAGCCATCTTGGAGGCTAAGAGCAGGCCAGTTGGGAGGATTCAAACTAGACCAGCGATGGAAAGGCTAGAGGGGAAATATATAGGAGGTTACATCAACAGTACTTAGATGAAGGAGTAAGGGAGAGAAGACTCAGAGGTGCTTCTCAGGGTGCTGGCTTGGATGACTGGGGACATGGCGTGGCGTGGCCACCACCAGAAGTAGAAGATACAGAATGAAGAGCAGGTTAGGGGGCACCGATGAATCCTGTTTAGGAAGCTGAGTTGGAGAGGGTCAGCAGGCATCTGGATGTCTGATTCTGCAGGTAGAGAGTCAGGACAGAAGTGATGACATAGCTGAAACCAGAATGAAGGCTGAGGACATCTCAGGTAAGTGTGCAGGGCAGGGGGAGCAGTGTGTTTGGGACACAGTCTCAAGAAGGAAAGAGTAGAAGGAAGAGGAACCCGCAAGAGGCAGACAGAGGATGGTCAGGAGCTACGAGCAGAATGTGCTGTCACAAGCCAAGGAAGAGGGAGGTTCAAGAAGGAAGATGTAACTGGAGTCAAGTGTAGCAAGAAAGATTCAGTCAAGGAGAAAAGAGTAACCAGAGCCACTTGGACCTGAAAACACCAAGGGCCTTGGTGATTTTAGTAAGAGAAGTGACAGCGAAGTTGTGTGGGGAGAAATGAGATCTGAGGGGGTTGAGGTGTGACTGGGAAGTCACAGAGAAGAGACAAGCGGAAGCAGATTTTTCAAAAGGTATGGTTGTAAAGGCACACAGCTAACTCACAGCTTCTAGAGGAATCACGGTGGAGGGAGGCTTCTGTTTCTTCAAGATGGTTTAGACTTAAGCTTGTTTACAGCCTGCATGGAAGGGGAAGTGCTGAGAACACAGGGAAGGGGATATCAGGGAATACAGCCTGCGGGGTGGGGCAGGGACAATGGGGTCTGGAGCACAGGCTAAAGCCCTGGCTTTGAAGAGGCACTGTGGCATGCACTTCAGAGACTGGAGGGCTGGGTATGGGGGGTAAAGAAAATAGTGGGGGGTGCTGCTTCATTTCATTCTTCACAGTAACTCAGGAAGGATTAGCCCCATTTTTCAGATGGGGACACAGAAAGGTCGGAGGTGAAGTAAAACTACCTGAAGTCACACAGTTGGCAAGTAGTAGGTTGGGATTTGAATCCAGGTACCGGAGGAATCAGCCCATGCTCCTTCCATCCCACTACAGAGGCTCTCACTCAGCGCAGTGCCGTGTCTGTGTCCAGCTCCGCTTTCTCATATGCCTGCCTGCTGCTCTGATAAAAATCACCAACTACTCCTAATTTCTAAACCCGATACACAGGTCTCCGTTCCTACCTGAACTGCTTCAGGGCATTTGACACTATGGAGGACTCCCTCCCTGAAATTCCTCTCTCGACCTCTGAGGTACCATTTTCTCATGAAGACTGAGAGAAGGCAAGTATGGCATAGTGGTCAAGCACACAGGCTCTGCAGCCAACCTCCCTGTGTTCACTCCCCGTTTCCATCACTTGCTAGCTGTATGACTCTGAACAAGTTACTTAGCATCTATGTTCTCCAGTTTCCTCTGCTGACTGGGGATTATACTAGTACTTGCACCGTAGGGCTGTTGTGATGATTCAATGAGTTACATACACAGTAGAAAGTTGAGCACAGCATCTGGTGCACAGTAAGTGCTCAATAAAGGTTTGCTATTATTATTGTTACTATTTTTTTATGCATCTTGTCCCTACCTCACTGATCCCTTCTCAGTCATTATTATAGGCTCCTTTTCCTTTATTCATTCCATCTACTATGTCGCAGGCCCTGTATAAGTCACTGACTGAGGTTGTAGTGGCTAATAAGACAGCTTTGGCCTTTGTTCTTACAGAGTGCACCATTTGCTCACCCTTTTCCCAGGCTCCTCCTGGCTTAGCATTCTACTCATTTGCATACCCACACCCCCTCCCACCTTGGCCCCAGATCTCTCTCTGCAGCCCAGACTGGTCGTGGAACTTCAGGATCATATAGCTACATAGCTGTCTGTCAGCCACCACCCCTTGGCTACAATAGTCTGCTACCTGATCTCCTGGCCTCTAGTCTAACCACCTCTAATCCAATCTCTACATTGGCTAACAGTTATCTGTCAAAATCAAAAATCACGTGACTTCAATGCCCAAAACCTTCCTGTGGCTCCCACCTCACTCAGTAAAAACTGAGGTCCTCATTGTGGCCCATAAGGCCTGCTTGATTTGGCCCCTAGCACCTCTCTGACCTCACTTCCTACTACTCTTCCTACTACCCTCACTCACTCTACTGCAGCTACTCTGGCTTCATTGCTCTTCCTCAAACATTCCAGACGCCCTCTCTCCCGCCTCAGGGCCTTTGCACTAGTGATTTCCTCTATCTAGACAGTTCTTCCCTCAGATATTTGTGCTGCTCACTCCCTCATCTTTAGATCTGTTTTCAAATGTTACCTTGGTGAGGTTTTCCTTATTTAAAATTGCAACTGTGCACCCTTTCCAAAAGTCCCCATATACCCTATTGTGTTATTTTTCTCCCTAGCAATTGTCTTAACCACCTTATATATTTCACTGTTACCTTGTTTATCGTCTCTGTGCCCATTAGAGTGTGAACTCCACAACAGCAAGGATTTTTGTTTTGTTCACTATGCCAATCACAAAGTAGGTAGCTTAATGTTTGCTGAGTATTGAAATGGTTTTGTCACTCCTCTGCTTAAACCCCTTAAGTGGTTACCCAGTGCCTACACAATAAAAGTCACAATTCCTCACTTTGGTGTAAAAGGTTCTTGCCCATTTTCTCTTCCTCCAAGTCCTCAACCCTGGGCTTCACTAACACTAAACTGTTCATCTGAAAACTCCCAGACCATTCACAGCCCCGGTGCTCTTCCTCTTGCTACCACTCTGCCAGGAAGGGTCTCACCCCATCCTGGCAAAATAGTATCCAGCTTTCTAAAATTGGTTCCTGACAGCTGACCTGTGCCACCCCCCTACCCTGCCTCCCTTTCCTTGTAAGAATTTACCAGTTCCATGTTGATGTTCCTTCCACGTTCTATATGCACTTCTATTACAGTACTTGTCAGAGTGCATAACACAGTGTTAAAGCATAAATATTTGCTGAGGAGTGACTTCTGCATGTATCTTTTCCTCTTACTCTAAACTGATTTTCTGGGAGGCATAGTTCTGTGGCCTTCTGGAAGGCCAGGGTGCCTGTCTTGTTTACTTTGGTCTTTAACTGATCTCTCAGCAATATTTTATTGAGCTCCTGACACAATGGCAGGCACTGTACTAGGCCACTGGGATACAGGGGTGGAAATGAGAAATACAGTTCATCTTTAGTGAGCTGATATTTTGGGAGAAAAGACAGACATTCCACAAATACTTTCAAAGTTAGTTACATCTATAATGAGCGGTTCAACAGAACAGGATGCTATGATAGGGGTGATTTGAAAGGTGAGCGGTGCGAATAGATAAGAAATAGTGCTTGCCCTGGCTGGTGTGGCTCAGTGGATTGAGTGCTGGCCTGTGCACCAAGGAGTTGCTGGTTTGATTTCCAGTCAGGGCATGTGCCTGGGTTGCAGGCCGGGTTCCCCGGTGAGGGCGTGCAAGAAGCAACTACACATTGATGTTTCTCTCCCTCTCTCCCTCCCTTCCCCTCTCTCTATAAATAAATAAATAAAATCTTAAAAAAGAAATAGTCCTTGCCTGCAAAGGACTTACTCTTATGGAAGAGGAGTCACAGATGTCATAGTAATGGTAGCTGTTAGTCATTGAGCACTGACTTAAAACCCTTGAGTGAATACCCACTGCCTATACGATAAAGTCACAATTCCTCAGTTCGGTGTTAGTTTTCTCATCCTCCAAATCCTCAGTCCTGGGCTGCGCTAACACTAAACTGTTTGAGTATCCTAAACTACCAGACCACTCACAGACCCAGTGCTACAGATTGTGCTTCACATACAGAATCTCGTTTCATTCTTATGAGCTCTATGTGGTATGATTACTCCCATTTTAAAGATGAGGAAACTGAAGCACAGAGATGAAAATTTCATTTGCCCAGGCCAGCTAGTAAGTAGCAGAACTATTAGGTCTTTCATTGTGCTGCCTCCACATAATGGAATGCCAGGCCGACTGGGGACCAATGGCTACACTGGCAATTGTTGAAGGGAGTTGGGGAAGTTGGGCTCTGATCAGTCTTTCAGCAGCAGCTGTATGGGGTAATTGGACCTCCCCGCACAGTTCTGGTCTCCTGGCTGCTGTACCTGTCTCAGGAAAACCCTCTCAGGCTTCAGGTCTCAGCCTGGAGGGCCCAGCTCCTTACCTGCACTCATTTCTTCATCCCTGGCTTGCTGTTGCTCCTTCACCTGCTTCTCCAGGCTGTGCCTGACCTCCTGCTGCATTCTCCGGCACGTGGCCCTGTCCAAGTCCTCCCTAGAGAGGGACTGCATGCTGGCTGGGCCACAGTGGGGCTTATTGTTACTCTGACAGGCTAAAAACCCCTTCCAGGGTTGGTTTGGGTCCCAAAGGTGAAATTCATGCCAATTCTCGAGCTGCTGCTTCTGCTCCTGAAACTCGTGGACATTTTTGGCCAGTTGACGTTTTCGTTCTTCCTCTTTCTTCTCTAGCATCTGGGCTACCAAGTCATAGTGTACCTGGGTGGCACCTGGGAGTTGTGGGGAGGGACAGCCCACTCAGCTGGGCCTCTGCTCCCAAGGCCCATCTGGTTGGTTCCACCACACCCCAGGCCTCAGGCTCCACTCTCCTGCCCTACCTCACTCCACCCAGCTCTGTGCAAGATCCTCCTTGGCAGGCCTCTGGCCTTGGGCTTTTACCGTAAGCTGCCTCCTTGCTCCGCTCCGTGGCCTCCCAAAGCTTCCGCTCTTCCACCTGGCTGTTCAGGGCTCCAACATCCACCTGATCCCAAAGAAATGTGCTAAATTATGGTAGTGGCCCAGCAGCAGACCTTAAGTGGCTCAGAAATCCTGCTTCGAAATCCTCCTATAGATCCCCAATGCCTACTGGATGACGTTCCACTGTCACCATGGTCTGTAAGCCCCTCAGTGGTCTAGCTTCTGCCTCGTTCTCCAACCTCATCTCGGTAGCCTCTTCCCTTGTCCCACCCTCAGGGGCTCTGTGCTTAGTTTCCTGCACATCTTACACTGTTTTGCACAGACAGTTTTTGCCCCAGCCATTCCTTCACTTGGAACACTCTTCCTCCCCTCTTTACTGAAACTCCTATTTATCCCTCAAGCTCAGGCTTCCCTTTTCTGACCCCTCTGACAGGTGCTACTCCCACAGGCTTGAGGACCCATTGTCCACACTGTATTGAAGTTTGCTTCTATCGATGATCTCCTTCACGAGACTGTGATCCCAGTAAGGGCCGAGACAGGCCCTTAGCTTTGTATCCCTACTGTACAGCCCAGTCCCTGACACAGAGCCGGCCCTAGGAAACACTTGCCAAACTGGATTTCAGTTACACCACTCATCCCTCGGCCAACTGCTTACGTGTGTCAGGCTCTAAGCTGTGGTTTCCCGAGCCGCCGCCTTAAATGAATCCCTCAACATTCCCTTTAGCCTCCCTCACTTTACCAAGCTTGGAGCTCAGAGAAGACATGTGACTCATCCAAAGCCACCCATCTAGTAAACGGCAGGCCTGGCCCTTGAGCACAATATGGGGTCTTTTCCAGAATCCCATGCTGCATTCTCCCTTTAGCCGCCCCACCCAGCAATCTATTTTTTTCTTAAACTATCCGTATTTTCTCTTTATTTTGCTTATAATTTGTTCATTTAAAATGTTTCAAAATCATGCAAAAGGGAATACAGTTTAGTGAAGAATCAGTGTCCCTGCCATTTCTGACCCTCAGCCTGGTTAACAGTTTCTTCCCTAGCCTTCCAGAGAGTTTAGGCACATATGCCATATCAAATATCCTTTAGACTTCTTTTAGCTCCATATTCATCTCTCAAGAACCAGGCCTCTTTGGCCCAGAGCGGACTGGAGAAAAGCCAGCTGTCACCGGCTCCTCTTCCCCCAGTCTCTTCCCCTGCAGCAGCCCCAACCTCCTTCCCATGCCTGGGGGTGGGCGCCTTCCCCCGTTCCTTTCCATCCCTAGGGCATGCTCAAATCAGGGAGGGGCTGTAACAGGCACTGCTATGTTCCTCTTCAGCTGCAAAAGTAAGGTGGCTCCGGGTCCCAAGAAAGTCCTCGCCGCCCACTCACCCCTAAGACTCGGGTCCGCACATCAAAGAATCGGTTCTGTCGTTCTTTCTCTCGATTTCTTCTAGCCTCAATGGCTGCCACCTCCTTGGGATCTGGTGGCAGGTTTAGGTTAAACATCTGGAGAAAGGGTGAGGTGGGATGGCCCATCAGTGCTATACCCCACCCCCATTCCTTTCTCCCCACAGTATCTCGCCAGTTACTGATTCCTACTGATTTTACTTCCTGTTACATTTCATATTAGTGTCTTCCATCTCTGCTGTCACTACCCTAATTCAGGCCTCACAATCTGGAGCCAGGCAACATTTCCAAGAGCTTCACAGGCCTCCCTTGCTCCAGTGTTACCCTATTTCTTTCTCTGCACTGGCTACCAGAGATCCTTCTGAAAGCAAGTCTGGCCCTGGCTGGTGTGGCTCAGTGGATTGAGTTCCAGACTGTGAAGCAGAGTCACTGGTTCGATTCCCAGTCAGGGCACATGCCTGGGTTGCGGGCCAGGTCCCCAGTAGGGGACAAGTGAGAGGCAACCACACATTGATGTTTCTCTCTTCTCCTTCCCTTCCCATCTCTCTAAAAATAAATAATAAATAAAATTAAAAAAAAAATAAAAGCAAATCTGACCACGCCCCCCTCCCCGGGCTTAAAACCTTTAAGAAGCAGCTGTAAAGCAAATGGCTTCCCAGTATTTACAGGACAAAGTCTAATCCCATCTGCTAGATTTATAAGGGTGTCTCCATGATCTGCTCCCTGCTCACCTTTCCACGTCTCAAACTCATTTGCAACACTGTCCCTTTCCCATTACGCTTCATTCGGTTTTCCTCACTTTAGGAAGTGGCACCACCATTTCCCCTTTTATTTTTATTATTCTGTAGTCAAATGAAAGGCTAGAGGGCTTAAGTGTGCCTGCTGTTTCATATTCTGGGACGCCTACTTTTCGGCGTGGGAGCCAGCCAAAACACTTGTGCCAACATAAATCTTACCATGTCTCTCACCTGCTTAAAGCCTCCACCGCCTTCCCACTGCACTTAGAATCAGATCCAAACTCCTAAGTGTGGGCTTGCAAGACCCGGTTCCTGCACCGCTGTCCAGTTCATCTCACGCCACCGGCTCCCCTGCTGACAGTGCTCCAGGCTCACTGGTATCAAGTCCTCCAATGAAACAGCTGCTCCTACCTCAGGGCCTTCATACACAGCCTTCTTTTGTTCGGAACACCATCCCCCAACTCCTCCTACAGCTAGTTCTCACCTTTTTTTTTTTTTAAACTTTTTGTAACTGTGAAATATTTTTTATATATATATATATAGGATATCCATATTATGTGTGTGTGTGTGTGTGTGTATGAATGATATATATCCCATATTTAAGTTAGGAAGCATGATAAAATAGAGACCCATGAACCAACTGTCCAACTTAAGAAATAAAACATGATCAATGCAATTAAGTATCTTGTATCTCTTCTCCCTCATCCTTACCCTGAAATATAACCATTTTCCAAGATGTTTCTACTCCCTTACTACTATGCATAAATATACTATGTGTACCATTCCCTGAACAATATTTTAAAATATTTCCTTGTTTTGGAATTTTATAAAATATCATGCAGTATATATTATCCTACATCTTGGTTTTCTCATTTACGTTCATTCCGTCACTTAACAAGTATTTGTGGAGTGCCTACTGTCAGACTCTCTTTTAAGGATTGGGAGACATCAAGGAGCATAAGTGATAAAAATCAGTGTTAGGAAACGCCCTGCCTGGTTTCAGGAGCTGTAACCCTGCCAACAGGCTGGAGGGCCCCAAGGCTGCGAATAATCAGGAGGCCTTCAAGAAACAGGCTCCTGAGGAGACATGACCTGCCCCCCCGAACGCTGCTTTGCCTTGTGATGGTCCCTGCCAAGGACAGGTAAGACCCCTTGGGGGAGGGGCAACCTAAGCCAGGCATCGACTGATACAGGCAGCAGATGAGAAATTGGGGGACACGGATAAGGGGAAAAGAGGCCCCCACACCTCTCGGCTTGGCTTGGACATGGTTGGAGTCCTCATTGCAGCCGAGAAGCAGTCTCCTTATCTCTTGGTGGTTCCCTCCCCCTGCCTGGATCAGGCTTGAAGCGGTGCAGGAGTCCGCTCTAAATCAGGTCTGGCGGTTGCCAGGGAAATCAGGCCTAAAAGTAATTTCTTTAAAGTGTGCTTTGTTCTTCTCTCGGATCCGTGGCCAGCTCATGCTGCAAAGGACCTTCACATTATTTACACCCCTTACCCTTTATCATTAAGGCGCTTGTCCTTATCTTCATTCTCTTTTGTTTATACTGGTCTCCTCTTGGACCCATGTCAATCAGTGAATTCCTGTCACTTGTTTTCTTAAAAGTATCTATTCTCTGTGAAACTTAACATGCTAATGTAATGATATTACATATGCATCCCTGTTACCTAGCCCCACTGATAAGTTTTTCTATAAAAGCCTTGGAACAAACGGCAACAGGGCCTTCCCCACTAGGGGGATGAGGCAGGGCCCTCTCCAGTAGGAGGGAAGTGCCCCTGTCAGCTCTCCTGGCAAACAGAGAAGTGTTTGTGATGTTTTGTGTTTATCCCCCTCATCTGTGACAACCCCGGGACAGGCTCTGCGGGATTCAGAGCCCTGCTCCCCCCTCAGCTGGCCCAGCCGGTTTCCCTCAAGTTCAGGGAGCTCTGCACTCTCAGCGGTGCTCCCCCGTGGCAGTGTGCCCCCCAGAGCCGCAGCGCAGCGCGACAAATCTGTTTGAGTTCTTGTGGAGGTCATTTCCTACTCAAAGCAGACACACAACACAATAGAGAATACATTCAATAGTTTGTAAGATGATGATATAAGTGCTATGGGAAAAATAGAGAGAGGATAAGGGGAAATGAAAGTGCAAAGGAAATGGGGAGTGTTGCAATTTTAAATATGGGAGCCACGGGAGGCATAACTAAGAAGGTAGTATTTGAGGGAGTACTTGAAGGTGAGGGAGACACCTATGCAGGTATCTAGGAGGAGAGCACTCCAGACAGAGGGAACAGCAAGTGTGAAGGCCTTAAGATGTACACAAGAAACATATATTCATGGGAGCAGCAGGAGGCAAGTGCGTGAATGAAGGAGAGGTAGGTAGGAAATGTCATTAGAGAGAATTTGCAGACCATTGTAAAGGCTGTGGCTTTTACTCCGAGAGAGGTGGGCAGCCATTGGAGGGTTTTGAGCACTAGGAATGGTGTGTTTTGCCTTTGACTTTCAAAGGACAACTCTGGTTGCTGTGTTAAGAATAGACTTGGAGTAGGGGAGGCAAGCCTAGAAGCCAGGAGACCAGTCAGAAGGCTGTAGCAGTCGTCCAGGCAGGAGATGACGGGATTCACACTGGTTTGGTAATAGCAGCGGTGGTGAGGAGTGGTCAGATTCTGGATATATTTTAAAGGTGGAGCTGACAGGACTTTCTGGTGGATCGGATGTGCAGTGTGAGAGCAGTATCAAGAATAAATTTAAGGTTTGGGCCTCCGGAAGGATTATACATCCTTATCTCACTGCCCTCAAAGTTAGCCATGTGATTTGCTTTGCTCTCTCCAGTGTGAGAATTGACAGGTGTCATTGCCAAGCAGAACTAAGAGCCATTAGGTGATAACTACTTTTTCTCTTCACTCTCTGCTCTGACACTGGCAGTGTTCCAGGTAAGGGCCACTCCTTTGGCCTGGATCACTGGAATGATGACATAGAGCAGAGATGTAGCCAACCCACAGTGGACAAGAAGCAAGAGTGAGAAACAGATGTTTGTTTTTATATGCTGCTGAGATTTGGGGGTTGTTTGTAATCTCAGCATAATTTAGCCTATCCTGACTGATACAAAGAAAATGAAAGCTATAAGGCTGTAAGGCTGTAAGAGCCCTCTAAAGGAGTGAGAGTAGATGGTTAAGAATGTCCCAGGGGAGACAGGGAGAAGAGAAGCCAGCACCGTAGGCTAAGGAGGAATGGCCAGTGAGGTGGGAGAAAAACCAAGAGCGTGATATCAAAGAAGTCAAGTGAAGAAAGTGATTTTGGGAGGAGTGAGCAACTGATGACGGATTAAGAGGAGGACTGAGACCTTACTGATTTAGTAACGTGAGGGTTGCTGATGACCATGACAAGAACAGTTTTGGTAGAGTTGTGAGGAGGAAAGTCTGACTGAAGTGGCTTCAAGAGAGACTAGGGCTCTGTAGCGCAAATAACACAGCTTATTTTTTAATTGCAAGAGAAAAAGAGGGAGGAGTAACCTGTAGGTTAAAAGAGACATATATACACATATATACACATATATACAGGTGGGAAACTTTCTTTAGCATATACCCAGGAATGGAAGTGCTGGATCCTAGCACTTAAAGCATGTTTAGCTCTACAAGATAATGCTAACTTGTTTTTCCAAGGAGATTGTACCAATTTACACCTTTACTACAGTGGATAAAAACTCCAGGCACCCCACATCTTCACCAACACTTGGTATTGCAGACTTTTTAATTTTTGCCCATTTGTGGATATAAAATTGTAATGATCAATTTTAATTGGCATTTTCCCTACTGCTAATGAGGTTGCTCATCTTTTCATTTGTGTTTTGGCTATTTTTGTTTATTCTTCTCTGAAGTGCCCATTCATATCTTTTGTTCATTTTTTAAAAAAATCAGGTTGCTTGCCCTTTTCTTATTAATCATAGGAGTTCCTTATATATTCTACCCACAAATCATTTCTTAGTTTATATGTGGCAAACCTCTTCAATTTGTGGCTGGTCTTTTCACTTGATTATTATTTGATAATAGTTTTTATTATTTAAGAAATCCCCTGAGGTCATAAAGATATTCTCCCATCTACTCTTCATATACACACATGAACACACACGTATACATGTGTACATATATGTGCACACACATGTGACACACGTGTCACATGCATGAGCATATACATGAAGGATGTGTGGGAGAATACATATATATTTTAAAGATTTTATTTATTTAATTTAGACAGGAAAGAGGAGAAAGAGAGGAAAGAGGAGAAAGAGAGGGAGAGAAACATCAATGTGTGGTTGCCCCTCACGTGCCCTGCACCGGGGACCTGGCCTGCAACCCAGGCATGTGCCCTGACTGGGAATCAAACCAGTGACTCTTTGATTCGCACGCCAGCACTCAATCCACTGAGCCACATCAGCCAGGGCTCCCATATATTCTTCTAAAATTTCTAAAGTTTTGCCTTTCTCATTTAAGTTTTTAACCCTTTTGGAACTGCATTTTGTATATGGTATGAGAGATGGGGATTCAATTTGATTTTCTCCCCCAAGTTCCATTTTCTGTCAGATTGCTGTTCTTAGGTCATTTTATCCCTTCAGCCTGATGGTGACTGTTTCTCCAAGTTGCACTTCACTTATGGCTCCTCTACTAGGTTCCACCAACTAAGCCTTCTCACTTCCCTGGACTTATCCTAAGACTTTAAGACTCTTCTGAGCCTCCAGACATCATTTAAAAAACAATTA